TCAAGAAGCACGCCGGTAAGCTTTGTACAAACAAGCCCCAGGTTTTTTTCAACAGCAATAATGCTGCTTTTCAAAGTACTTGGCAGTGAAGCTGCAAGTAGGATCTTGCAGAGGTTTACTCCCCTCTGACCTTTCCCAGCAGATTTTCTCTTCAGGATGGAGTGACTGGACCATATAAATGCCACAAGCAAGAGCAGTGAAAACATGAAGCAACACTGCAATAAAATGAAGTAACAGGCAGCTGCAGATTCTCCTGGCATTAATGCTATGAAGGGCCTAACTCACTTTTTGCATGTGAAATGAAGTGGAATAACCCTGCTCAAGCTAAAAAAAAATAAATTGCAGTGGCTTAAGACCTATGTGACTGAAATTGGAAACAGGCCCTCAATATCTACCGGTCATTCCTGTTCTTCTCTGCTTCTCATGTCTCAGGAGTCTCACAATGCCTTTCCAGGGCAGCCCTTTTCTAACTTTTGTTTTGATTAAGTAAAAAAATGAACAAAAAATAGCATCTTCCAGAATCTTAGCCATTTCGTAACCACCGGATTTTGCACGGGATCTAGGGTCGGAGCTGGAAGCTGCTCCTCCTGCTCGAAGAACTGCTTGCTCAGCAGCAGCTGCTCTTCCTTTAAAGAGATTTTGGCAGTTCCTTGGGCAGGCACCAGCAAAACTTGTGTGGCGGCAGTCATTACTGTACTGCACGTTTGTGTCATTCACGGGACACAGAGGCACTTCTCCCCGGGCAGCGTGGAGTTAACTTGCCTCCTGCTCCCCGCCTTGGGAATAAGAGCTGGGATGGCAGCCCATAGTAGGAGGGCCCGGATTGAACTTGCCAGTGCAGAGGAGGGATAACATTTTTGTGTGTGGAAGATGCTTGCCAAGAAATGGAGAGGGAAAGCAACAGTGGGAGAAAGGAAGTAACTCATCAGGTGCTTGGGACAGACAACAGCATTTTTGGGAGCTGGGTACGCATCAAGGTCTTGGAGGGATCTTTCTCTCCATAGGTCACTCAGTGGAGACAGAAAGCAAGAGGAGGAAGGCAGATGCCTTCAAAAGCCTGTGAACATTGCCAGCACCTCACAAGCATCCAGTTTCCTACCCATCCAGGCCAGATAAATACCACTACACTACTTTTAGAGATGAAGAGGCTGAGGCTGTAGAAAATTTGACATGTAGGAATATTCCTCTACCAGCACAACCCGAGGAAAATGTGGATAGGGACAAAGAGAAGGGTGGCAGCAGCCCCAGCTACCATTGCTGGAGGACCACATGCAGATGGTACCCAGCCCCAGGTCTCACAGCAAAGCAACGCTGCAGGCAGGAGAATAACCCAGTTTTCCGTATTCTTGGTTTTGTGCCTCTAAGGAGGAGGCTGTCTTCCTTCCTCTGTTACATGCAATCAGTGGTGTTACACTGAAAAACTAGGGTGAGTGATGAGATAGTCCTGCTTTAGCTGTCTAAGCAAAAGAAAACCACAAAAAAACACAAAGAAAGTGAAGGATGAATCAATCCTACCCTCCCAAGGCAACTTGTACTACCTTGAATTTCCAGACAGAGACAGGCCTGAACAAACTTTCCAATTATCACACACTCAGAAACACCTTGAGCCAGATCGCATGTTGCTGGCTTAAGCCCAGCTCTGAGGACCTAAATCTCTCACACTAAGGAGTAACTAATTTAAAATCAGTGCAATTAAAATTAAAATAAACTAGAGGATGGTCCGGCTCCTCTGGTTTCTGGACACTGAAGCAAATGATTTCTGAGGAGAGAAGGGATTACCTGGAACTCTAAAGGAAGGCTGCTGAAGAAGAAAGCTGCTTGGATTTGTAATTCCCAAATGCAAAATACAGCTGAGTAGAAAGAAGTGAAGTAAATCATTGCTTCAAAATTTATAATTTATTATTTATTTAATAAGATGCTACAAAATGAAAAAAAAATAATAACTTTAGGATGCGAAGATTTGTTTTCCTTTGCTCTTAACCAGCCATTTGAAAACACTGCAACATGACCAATTCCTCAGAAATGTTTTCCTGACCACAGCGTCTTGCATGCAGACAAACACAAGGATTATGCCAGTTCCTGGAAGAACAAACGTCATTAGCTTTTTTTAATACTGAAGCACATGTCTGTTTGTATTGTTGTTTTGCTCTCTTCTTATCTCCCTAATTTTGGGGGATAGTAGACTCTGGTACTTCAGCCAACAAAGCAACATGCAGATGTCACACTTTGATTTTAGACTCCTGAATCCGTATTTAATTACTTAGATGAGTATCAGAAGCATTTGATACATCTTCATAATATTTACTTTTCCTTTTTTTTTTTTTTTTTTTTGGTTCCTAGACTCTTTGTTTAAATGAGTACAATGGGTTATTTTTTCCTCTGGTTGTTCTTTTTTTTTTTTGGTTCTTCAGACGTTTTGCCTGTGTAAGTAAAATTGCCCTTCCTTAACACCCTCTCTCCTGCTGTCTCTGCCTGAACAGCTTCCATTGGGTCATCTTCGTGCTACCGTTCTAAACAATTTGCTTGTTTGTAAGTAGCTAATTAGTTATTTGCTATCTTCAGAAGTAAGCTTTTGAGTTCTGGGCTTCAACATTTTTTTAGTGAGGGCTCCTGTTTCACCACTGCGTATTCGAGAAGAAGTTTCCCCAGATAAGGAGAAAGATGGGAATCTCACTTGTTTTCCTGGGCAGAGTTCTCAAGTGCTTTTTTTTTTGTATTATGGTGGTATTGAGTCAAGGCACCAATTAGGCATGTACTTGCCTTTGAAGTCAGTGGGATGTATTACTGTCTCAAAAATGGACTGACTTAAGCCAAGTGACATAAAGCACATTAATCTGCTGTATGGATGCTCTTATTACATCTTTGCAGCTTAGTGTGAGCGGACCTATAGACAAGCCCTCAAGCTGTGCTTGTGACACCGAACAGCTTTGAATATAGTGTGCCACTTATCAATCTCTTTCTGTAATCCACAAACTAACGTAGATCAGATTAGAATCGCATGTAATTCAAGTGTTTCTTGCTGAAATTAATTCAGCTTGTATACTGTCTCAAGTGTGCAATAAGCAAAATTTCCTGAACTTCAAGTATTACAAAATATGGACCAAAGAAAAGGGATAGGTGACCAATAGGACACATGAAAGACACGGAAATGTTTCAAGATGTGACAAAAGAAAGAATAATTTATTTATCCTGAACCATAACACTATCTGTGAATCTCAGTCCCTCAACAGTGGAAAAGTCCAAATCAAAGTTAGAAGAGAAACATTTTACTCAGATTTAAAATTGAAAGAAAGAATGAAGTAAGATGGTGTAAACCCCATAAAATTAATATCTACTGTCAATTTTTAGAATTAATTACTGGCTGAAATGTTGGGCTGCTTTAAATTAGCTGTGCTATGATTGCAAACTGTATTTGTTCTATGTTAGTGAGTGTATTCTATTTGCTTATTGAAAGACTTTATTGTATTATACATTCTTGTGGAAAGACAACGAGGAGAGAGAATCCTAGCAATATACTGTATTGGCTGTCTGAAAAACCTGCTGTGTTTTATTTCTCCTAAAAAAAAAAAAAAAAAGGAAAAGAAAAGAAAAGCTTAATTAAACCACAAGCATCACTCTGATGAGCCTCTCCTTTGATATCTCTCTTTTGATAGCGTCTCTCCTGACAGGCTGTGATACTCCACTAGACATGCTCTGTGTTTTCCTCCTTGGGGATAACAACCGCTTTGTTCCAAGCATTTCCTTGGCCTAGGATTTGGGAGCTCTGGAAGAGTGCAAACATCTTCTTCCAGCCTATCAATGTGAGAGCAGGACCCAATGTGGAACTAATTAGTGACATAATGAACGCCACAACAGTTTATTGCCAGGAAGCTCCTAATGACGTGGCAGTAATCTCACAATGACTAATCAAGATTTTCTTCATTTCCCTCTAGTAATTCTACCTGATAAATTAATGAAAAAAAAAAACAACTGTAAGTAGAACAGAACAGCTAAAATAGCTGACAGACAACGCTTTTCTGCATTCCTGGGGTTATGGCATGCAATTCTCCATAAATTCTAGGACTTGGGCTACGGGGAGCAGTGAGGAGCCGTTACGACACCCCCCAGCCCCTCATTGATTTTGGTGGGCTAATCTTAGCTGCAACGCAGCATTTATCGTAACTTTTTGACCTGTGGGGTGCAGCCCCACTACCAACTACCCCCACTAAAACCCGGGGATTACGAAGAGTGCCTAAAAATGGGAGTTACTCTTTTAGAGCTAAGGGCAGACGGGTGCAGATCCTTCGCAGCCCAAGCCGCCCGAACCCCATCCCTCAGCCAGCGCAGCGCCCGGGCAGGGTGCAGCCTCCCACCCCTCATTTTTTCCCCATCCCACATCAGCAAATATTCACCCCATCACCACACAACCCCCTCACAACACCCCCTCCCGCTGCGGGGGGCGCAGGGCTGGCAGCACCTAGCAGGTTCACAGAATCGCCTAGGTTGGAAGGGACCTTTACGATCATCTAGTCCAGCCATCGACCTAACTCTGACAAAAAAACAAACAAACAAACCCCCAAAAATCCCCAAACTATCACTAAACCATATTCCTGAGGACCATGTCAACCCGTCTTTTGAACACCTCCAGGGATGGTGCCTTGACCGCTTCCCTGGGCAGCCCATTCCAGTGCTGGATAACCCTTTCTGTAAAGAAATGTTTCCTAATAGCCAATCTAAACCTCCCCTGGCACAACTTGAGGCCATTTCCCCTTGTCCTGTCGCCTGTAACTTGGGAGAAGAGACCGACCCCCCCTCTCTACACCCCCCTTCAGGTAGTAATAGAGCGCGATAAGGTCTCCCCTCAGCCTCCCCTTCTCCAGGCCGAACCCCCCAGCCCCCTCAGCCTCTCCTCAGGAGACTTGTCCTCCAGACCCCTCACCAGCTTCCTTGCCCTCCTCTGGACCCGCTCCTCCAGCCGAGACACCCCCCTCCGTGTGTGTCCCCCCCCCCGCATCTCTCACCGACGGGACCCGGGAACCGTGACGGGGCTGAGGGGGACGGTTGGCGGGCAGAGCGCGAGGCGGGGCCGGGGCCGCGTGCATGTGACCAGCGGCGGCGGCGGCGGCGGCCCCGGGGGGAGGTTTAGGGGCACCCGGGGGGGGACATACACCCGCTTCCTCCCCTTCTCCCCCCCCCAAAACCTTTCTTTCCCGGAGGCGGGGTGCTGGCTGGAAAGGGGAACGCTTCCCAGCTCCGCCATCCTCCTCCTCCTCGCTCCCGGAGGGCGCCGCGTCTCACTGGCCTGGGCTGGGGGCTGGGGGGTCGGGCCGGCCGTCGTGAATTCCTCCCCGCCGAAAACTTGGCCGCCGCTCACCGGCCTCCCGGGGCGGGGGGGGCGGGGGGAGGCTTCGGTGATTTTTTTGTTTGTTTTGTTTTTGTCTTGTTTCGGAACTTTTTGAAAAGAGAGAAGTGGGGAGTGAGGGGTTTGCTTTGGGGGGCGCTCCCTATCTTTCCCCGTCCCCCTCTTTCCCCCCTCAACCAAGCGGGGGCCGTCGCCGCCAGAGCCGGCTTTCTCCGGCCGCGGGGAGCCCCGAAAGGGACCCGGGGGGGTGTTTGCAGCCCGCCACCCCCTCGACGGGCTTTTGGGTCTTGTCACCCGCAAGCGCTGGCTTCAAAGAGCCCCTGCCACAAATGGAGGGGGGGAAGCGAAACGGGGAGGGGGGGAAGCGGCGGCTCCGAGACGTTCTTTTGGGTGGCTCCTTCTCCCGGGTGCCTGTGCCCCGATGTGCTGTGTGGGTGCCCTGGTTATTTACTCGCCCGGGTTTATTGAGAGCTTCTTTCGCTCGACCCCTTACAGGAATGTCCTTTCGTTGCCTTTTTTTTTTTTTTTTTTTTTTTTTGGCGGCGGACCCGCGTGTGCGCCGTGTGTTCACATCTGGAGCAGCAATGTGCTTAGCTCTGCAGTTGGGCTCTGCCGGCCCCCCCCGCCTCCATCGCCCTCTCTGCCCGCCAAAACGGGCTCCCGAGTGGGTACAAACACCGCGGGGGGACAGGCAGAGCCACCTCCTCTCACCGGCACTGCCACAGCATCGCTACTTAATTAAAAAAAAAAAAAATAAAAATCAAGCTTCTCAAATTATCAGGTGCGATAATTTGTTAGGCTGCTTTTAGGTCCTTATCTCCATAAACATTCAGAAAAGCTGCATGGATGAAGGCGTTTTAGAGTGAATTCTCTTTCCACGCAGTACAAGTGAGGTGAAGGTTTAAAAAAACCCAAACAAATACAAACAGCCCAGTTCTTTCTGATTTGTGTTGACCCTTGCTCTAGGGCAAGGTACCCACTCCTGCTGGGTAAGTGCCAGGGCACTGGAGAGTTCAACCTGAGCTATTTTGCAGTTGACTGTTCCTCCTTTCTTGGTAAGAATTCCTGCTTTCAACTTTTAAAATGGCACAGCGACAAAATAAATGTGGTTTGTACAAACCTGAGGAGTCTGTGGTAGAGTATGTGGATATGTCTTTATTTTTCTTCCCCAGTAGAAAATCCTGTAATTTTGTAGAGATGAAGTGTCTTGTGGAATGACATTCCTCTTGCCCATTATTTATTGCTATTTTGTAACACTAAAGTGTACTGGAGGTTTTGGAAGGCAATTGTTTACTTCTTTTAAAACAGGAAAAGGAATTTATAAAGCAGTTCTGTGTTACTAAGAGTATGCAATTACTATGTAAATTCATTAAAATGATAGAGTGGCAGTGGGAACGCTTAGGAAGCTGTGTCTCTAGTTAGAGTAGTTAGTGAGATGTTCCTTCCTGAGTTTTAATAGGGTGTAATCCTAGAAAACCATCTACTTCTGATCATAGACATCTCATTTACCATGGAGGTTGATGTCATGTTTTCCTAAAAGTGAGGACTTCTTCATACGACACATCCCTTTGGGAAGCTCAAACAGAATTCCAGAACAGAGAGACTCTGTACCTGTCCATGTGAACAAGTGTAGGCATTAATCTTAACAACCCAAAAATATATTTTCTGTTCTACCAAAAAGAATCTTAACAGTTGTCTTTTCAATAGGTCCTGGTCCTGTAGGTTAATCTGTATTGTATCTAGTATCTCATAATCAATCAAGTCCGTCTTGTCCAAGTGTCAAGATGAGTTCCTATCCTTGTTAGAAATTAGGGCTTAAATTGGTTTGTAAACCTGTATTCCTCTCCACTTCTGAACAAAGCCCTAGATTGGACCTCTAAATAGGACAGGAGGATCACTGATGGTCTACAGCCCTCAGCTGTGCGAAGGGTCTGGGCTTGGGCTGTTTCTGCCAGCTCAGAATTCCCCAGTGAGGGAAAAAATGCAGCTGGTGCAATGTTTGCAGAGGCAGCTTCTCCATGAGCACCAAAGCCGTAGTTGTCTGTAGAGGGTCTAGATGGAAGGGTGAGGAGAGAGGGGAAGAGAAAAACCAGAGCTGTGCTCCGTGCTGCCAGCCCCTGAAGGTAACCCAGTCCTCCAGAGCGAGTACGACCAGGAGCCATTGCAGTAGCAATGAGGAGTCAGTTCTCAGCTCTTGGCATGGGCAATGCTGGGGGTACATCCATGCTGTAGCACAGGAGGGAACCTGGCCTTTAGTTTTCAACAGAAATCTATCGTAACTGGGACTTGGGCATCTGTATTTCACTTCCTCCTCCTCCTGAGTAGCTTGGGGTTTTTAAAACTCTCTCTGGGTGTGATGGGAGATTTGGAGCAGCTGGGAGTCGTGCACAGCAAGGGGATGGTCCTGGGGTTTATAGGAGTTGAAGGAGACACCAGCAAGAGAGGACAGAGAGGAAATGTGGGGCAGCTCAAGGCTAAGTGTGAGTCAGTTTGGAAGGTAGGCTTTGTTGATGGCAGAGCTTTGTTACCGGTGAATTTGGGAGGGCAGGGCTTTTTGAGGAGACATGGTTCTGGCTTGCCATGGGCTGGCAGGAACAGGATGCCTGCCTAATTGTGCAGTGCCTCACAGCCCTCCGTGTAAGAGCTATGGAGCTAAAATTTTAATAGCTCTCTTGAGTATGTTGCCATGCAAGTGGCCTCAAGCCTGCTCCTAAACTACTTCACCTGGTAAATTATTGCTGCTGGGTGGTGAGGTATCTCCCCATGGAAGGTGTTCATCTTCTTAAGTGTCAATGCTTGAGCATCTGCTCCAAATCCCTGTCTTGTCCCCTCAAACTCTTCCTGGTCTCTCGGTCCAGTCTGTTTGCTGCAGTTGTCCCTGTGTTAGAGGCCACCTGCTTCTGGGGCTGAGCAAGTTTTAGCTGCAGCTCAGTTTATGTGGCACAATGAACTACTGCTCCCATTTGGCTCACACAGTGTTTCTGTTTTGAGTGGGCATTATCTTGAGGGGGTGAAAGAGGAGGGGGTGTGTGGGGGGCCTGGTGTGTTCCTGAGCTGTGCTTAAGTGCTGAAATGTGGCTGGGCGTGCGGCTGGGAAGATCTGCCAGGTTTCCTAATCGTGTCTGTGGCTGCTAAATGCCATGTGCCTTGGCTCCCAACATTTTCTTTATGCAGGCTGGAGGAGTGATTTAGAGCTCTCTGCCAAGTCCTGACATAATTGTGTGTGGCAACCACAGAAGACATTGCCAGGTTCAGGACTAAGGCAAAGTTTCTTGTCTTTGTCACTTCCTGAGGAAACTTTGACAGCCCTTCAGAGAGACTTTGGGAGGTGGCTTGCTAACTGCCATCTACAGTGACCTCCATTACTCCTTTCCTTTTGTTTTTGTTTATTACATTTTTATGCTGTGAGCGTTCATCATAGGACCAAAGGAGTTAGGGTTGGAAGAGACTCAGAGGTCATCCCTTGGCCCTAAAACTCCTCTTATAACTTACCTGACATATGTTGGTCTCACCTGTTCCTAAAAAACTCACGACAAAGGTTTATCTTTTCCCCAGGATTATGTCCCAGAGCTTAACTGCTCTTACTGTAGAAAGTTTTTTCCCAAACGTAGTGCCTATGCCTGCCTTGCCTGAGACATCCTTTCTTCACCCTCCTGTTTGTGTTTCCATTTGCTTGCTTGTAAGAAGTCATTTGCTGGCATGCTTTCTGCTAGCATGTAGTTTGAAAATACTGTCTGAAGTCAGTAAGCCTACATTCGTAAAAGTAGTGACATTTCCTCTGTGGAGGAGAAGGAGGTTTCCTCAGGAGTTTCACCACAGCTGGATCCCAATTGCTGGGTATGGGTAGCAGTTTATTACCTTTGGTGATGTCGTGCACCTCTGCGTGGGGCATCTGCACGTGCAGGCTGTGGAATTGAGCTCAGAATTGTTTGATATTCGAAGCTATTGGGAATATGATAATAGTTTTCTTAAGGAGAAAATCTCTCTGGTTTTCCTGTCTTCATGCCATGGTAATGTAAAGGTCTGGGTTCTGTTGGGTGGAGAACAAATTCCTGTAGCAGAGTGTATGCATGCCTCAGACCTTTCAATGCAAAGCTTAAGTACCTGCTCTTCTTCTTTAAGTAGTTATTATACTGAACAGGTGGGACTGAGAATCTTTTAGTTGGTGTTTATAAAATACATGAATTTTACTTCTCTTTTGACTCTAATATGTTTGTCATTATTAATGCTCTTAGTGCCTAGATGTCCCAGCCCAAACAAGTGCCCTGCTGTTAAAACCAAAAATGCGTCCCTGGGTGGATTGTGCCACTGAAGGACCTTTCTTCTCACGGGCTGTGTATAAGGGGCTCTGCACGTTAAGATGAGCATCCTACTGAAGGCAGTAACACTACACGGGTGCAGAAGCTGTGCAAGCATCAACAGCTGCAGTGCTATAGCCTAGAACAAAACAAGAGGGACCAAAGTAGAGCGGATGACAAAAGTGGTTGTGAAAAGAAAAAAATAAATCGTACTGATATAAATGTATGCCTTCTAAAATTTTGTCCAAAAAGTATCCATCTGAGAGGAGAACACAGGCTGACAAACAGGTTTTGGTTTTTTTTCCCCATGTTAATGGTTCATCATTGTCTACTTACTCATTCATGGTTTATTATGTAAACAAGTAGCTCTATCGTGAGAGAAATTTTTTTGCATAGCTGTCTGTCTTGTGGAGTCACTGGTGTGAAACATCTATTGTTGCAACCTTTCCATCAAAGGAGCC